TAGAAAAGAACTGTGAGCATTCTAAAACTCCTGTTGTTAGAGGCTTCAGACCATATAGTATTGTCATATTATTAATAATATTTTGTAATTTCCGGTGTGATTTTCATCTAAACCTGTTGTGCTTAGACTATCTGTGGTTACATTCTTTTTCACAAATTCCAGATTCAAACTTCCTTTTTCTCCTCCCCCACCTCTCAAGTTCCATAGGGCAGTCTTTGACTTTTATTCTCATTTTTTCTTTTTAATGAGACAACATTAATGTACAACCGCGTATAGGTTTTAAGTGCACAGTTGCTCACCTCAGCAACTGTATATATCATCCCACTCCCATCACTAAATATACATTCACCATTCACTACCAGTTAACCTCCCTCCTATACCCTCCCATTTCTTCCCCCCTATTAACAACCATTCTGTTGTAAGAGTCTGAGATTTTGTTGTTTCATTGCTTTTTTCTTTATATTCCATAAATGAGTCAAATCATGCTGTATTTGTCTGTCTGTCTTCTGAATTATTTCACTTCGCGTAATACCCTCAAGATGCAGTCATATTGTCCCAGGCATCAAGATTTCATCTTTATATGGCTGAATAGTATTCTATTGTTTATATATACCATATCTTCTTAGTCTACTCACCTGTTATGAGGCAAAAGGGTGATTTCCATATCTTGGCTATTGTGATAGTGCTAGAATCAGTTAACAATGAACAGCTACAGTGAACAATTAGCTACAATGAACATAGGGATGTGTATATATATCTCTATATATCTTTTCAAAATTAGCATTTTAATATTCTTCAGGTAAACAAACACCTAGATATATGATTACTGGATCATATACTATTTTCCATTGTGACTGCACCAATTTATATTCCCACCAACAGTGCACAAGGGTTTGCTTTTCTCCATATTCTCACCAACACTTATTTTTTGACTTTTTGATAATAGCCATTCTAACTATTATGAAATAAAATCTCACTGTGGTTTTATTTACAATTTGCTAGTACTAGTGATATAGAACATACTGTCATGTGTATGTTGGCTTTGAGTTTGTCTATGGTGAAATGTCTGTTTAGATCCTCTACCTACTTTTTAATTAGGTCATTTGTTTTTATGTCATTGAATTGTTTATATATTTGGACCATTAACACCTTGTTTGACTTTTTTTTCCCATTCAGCAGGCTGCCTTTTCATTTTAGTGATGGTGCTTTAGCTGTGCAGAATCTTTTTATTCTGATGTCCCATTTGTTTATTTTTGTGTTTGTTTCTCTTGCTGTTGGAGAAAATCCACAAACACATCACTAAAGTAGATATCAAAGAGCTTAATACCTGTTTTCGATGTATTGTCTGATTTCAGATTTTACATTAAGTCTTTATTTTGAATTGATTTTAGTATATAGTGTAAGATAGTGATACACTTTTATTCTTTTGGATGTGACTATCCAGTTTTCCCAGCACTGTTTATTAAAGACTTTTATTTCTCTGTTATATGCTCTTTGATCATTTGTCATAAATTAGTTGTCCATATATGTGTGGTTTTATTTCTGCGCTCTTGATTCTAGTCCCTTGTTCCCTATACCTGGTTTTTTATTAACCTCCTGTAGCCCCACCTTCCCAATACCACACTGTTTGATTCCTGTAGCTTTGTAGTATAGTTTGAAACCAGGGAACATGATACTTCAATTTTTGTCTTTCTCAGGATTGCCTTAGCTATTTAAGGTCATTGTGTATCCATACACATTTTAGGATATTTTGTTCCATTTCTGCAAAGAATGCCATAGGAATTGTGTTGAATCTATGTATAGCTATAGGTAGAATGGCCATTTTGACAATGGTGATTTTCCCAATCTGTGAGCGCTGAAAGTCTTTACATTTATTTTTGTGTATTCGTCAATGTCTTTATATTACAGTTTTCAGTGTACTAGCTAAATTTATTTCTAGGTCTTTCATTTTTCTTGATGCTGTAATAAATGGTATTCTTTTTTCACTTCTCTTTCTGCTAGTTCATTGTTTACATATAGAAACTCAATGGATTTTTATGTATTGATTTTGTAGCCTGCAACTTTACTGTTTTTTTTATTTCTTAACAGTTTTTTTTTTTTTTAATTCTTTGGGTTTTTCTATACATAATACCATGTCATTTGCATATCGTAACAGCGTTCCATTTTCCTTTCCAATCTGAATTGCTTTTATTTCTATTTCTTGTCTCATTTCTCTGGCCAGGTCTTCTACTACTATGTTAAATAATAGTGGCGCAAGAGTGGGCATTCTTGTCTTCTTTTAATCTTAGAGAAAAAAATCTTATGTTTTTCCCATTGATTATGACATTAGCTATGGGTTAGGCATGGTATCCTGTATTATCTTTAGGATTGTTCCTTCTATTCCCATTTTATTGGGAGATTTTTATTTTTTCATAAATGGATGTTGAATTTTATCTAATTTTTTCCTGCATCTATTAATTTTTATGTTTAATTTTACTTGAATGAATTTGTGTATGTTGAGCTATCCTTGCATTGCTGGAATTAATCCCACTTTCTCTTTGTATATGATCTATTTAATGTATTGTTGAATTTGGTTTGCTAATATTTTCTGGAGGATTTTTGCATCTATGCTTATTAGAGATACTGGCCTATAATTTTCATATACTGTAATTTTGATGTCAGTGTTATGCTGGCCTAATAAAAGGAGTTAGGTAACATTCCCTCCTTATTGATATTTTGGGAAGAATTTGAGAAGGTTAAGTATCAGATTTTCCTTCTATGCTTAATGGCATTCACCAGTGAAGCCATTTGGCTCTAACTTTTATTTTGTGGGAAGTTTTTGATTACTGTTTCAATTTATTGTTATAAGCTTCTTCAAATTTTCTCATTTTTTATGAGTCTTAGGATGATGTACAATTCAAGGAAGCTATCCACCTCCTCTAAGATGCCTAATTCATTGGCATATATATGCTACACTACTATTAAGATCCTCTGTATCTTTTGGATCTATCATAAGCCTCCTCTTTAAATTCTGATTTTATTTATTTGAGTCTTTTTTTTTTTCCATTTTTCTTAGTGCATCTGGTCAAAAGTTGGTCAGTTCTGTTGATTGTTTTTTTTTTCAAGATAATTTATATTCATTGATCTTTTGTACTTTTTTGTTTTCTATTTTGTTAATTTCCACTCTGAATTTTATTATTTTCTTCCTTCTACTGACTTTGGGGTTCGTTTCTTTTTCTTTTTCTAATCCCTTTAGATATAAAGTTAGATTGGTTTACTTGAGATTTTCATGTTTATTGAGATGGGCCATATTGCTATAAAATTCCCTATTTACTGAATTTCCTTTCTTCATTTACTGTCACGTTCTGTATGCTCTAGGTATTCCTCTTGATTCTTAGAAAAAGTCTTCCTTAATTGCTCCTTTTCCTACCCCAGGTTTCTTTACACAGTTCTCTTAGTCTAAAGAGTGTGTTGATGATTAGCTCAGAGTGACAGAATGTGTGTAAAGGGTAGAGAGAGGCGGTTAATGACCGCCGATAAGTGTCTGGGATTCTTGGAAATTCAGAAAACCTCAGTTGTATGAAATGGAATAGGACCAGTTTCTTCTTTTGATCACATTCTTCTTTTAAAAAAAAAAGATTTATTTGTGGTCCTCCCTGGTGGCGCAGCGGGTTGAGCACAGCACTGTGAAGCTGTCCGCAGCCTTTGCGGCATGGGTTTGATCCCAGTCAGCCATGGAGATACCCACATGGTGCAGCAGACCTCTCCTGTCTCGCCCGCTGCTCCCCTCAACATTGCTTTCGGTCCATCGGCCTATTCTGCTCCCCGCTCTGTCTCTGGTGAATCCTCTCACCCTCCCGCGCCTCTGGCCCGTACCCCAGCTATTGTAGAAATAAATCTATAAATAAATAAATATTTATTTGTTTGTGCATACAACAACTGGGATATGGGCCAGAGGTGTGGGGGGTGAGAAGATTCACCAGAGACAGAGTGGGGAGCAGAACAGGCAGATTGACTGAAATACACTAGTGAGGAGAACAGTAGGAGAGACAGGAGAGGACTGCTACGCCATGTGGGTAGCTCTCTGACTGGCCAGGGATCGAATTCATGCTGCAGAGGTGGTGGATAGTTTTGCAGTGCTGTGCTTTAACCCCTTGCACCACCAGGGAGGCCCATTGATCATATTCTTAATTGTTCTCCTTCTTAGAAGATCTTAAGATTTTACAGTGAACATGCAAATTGATATTAAGAGCATTGGATTTCTTTGTAAACTCTCCTCTCCATCTCTGAAGTAGATCTAACCAAAGAATCACCTGAGCATTCTCAAGAGAGAATGAGATAGAAATTTGTAAACAATGTAGTCCTATGCAATAAATGTTTCATGCATCTGGGATCTTTCCAAGATGTTGTCTGCTTTTATATAGCAGAGGGAAAATGAATCATTCTATAACAAGGGGTTCCTAAGAGATATCAAACTCAATTAAAATTGATTTAACTTCTGGGGACCTGTCCAGATTATACTATACAACTACAAATATGTTAATACCAGTTTTGGCGATAAATCATTTCATTGGCTCCCCTGTCTCTTGAACTAACAGACTATAAATTTCTTACTGCTCAGAATTTCCAGTACGTAAGGAAAGAATGGTGAAGAATATGACTGGAGTGGCTGCACTGGGTAATGGCAATGTAGAAAAAGGTGCACTGAACTAGAGTATGGCTGGCCTTTTCTCCTTTTGAATGTCTTTCACTGTAGGACACTTTGGAGAATCATTTACATGTTGTATCACCTACATTTATCTCATCCCAATCTCATCATCTTTCTCTTCCCATTAGTGAATGTTAATCTACAACTGATATTTTAGAAAAGGATATCTTTGAATTGTGACACTATTTAGCTTGTGATGAATGGTAAAGTTAGGAAATCAAAAAAAGAAATTTGTAATTTTGGTAGGAATACTGAGTAATAAAGAGAGATAGTTTATCTCTTTCAATTAATGTGTATATTCTTTTAAATTTAGGAATAGAAGGACAGTCTCTGGAAGTTTCCAATATTGTGGACATCCGAAAAGAATATAACCGTGAGATTGCAATGAGGATTTCTTCTAACATAAACAGCCAAAATAAATTTTATACTGACTTAAATGGATACCAGGTAATGTTCTTTTAATATATCTAAGTGATGGTTATGCTAGTGTGAAGCTTTTATATATCATAATGAGCAGTTAATTTTGGGTTCTTTGAAAATAAGCTTAAGAATTACAAATTATTTCTAAAATAAAGCTGAATTTTATTTTTTATGAATTATTTTAGATAATTCTTACATCATTTTTCATTTTTGCATAATGTATGCATTTTCATTTTGGTTATATTCCCCATACAATTCCTGACACCTTTTTCTGACCCTAATCCTTCTTCTTCTCTCCCCACCCCCCACTGTAGTATGTCTCTGGTCTATAGTTGCTTGTTGATTTTGATTTTTACTTTTCGCTATTAGTCTTTTTCCTGGTCCCTTATTTAGGTTTTCTAAATTCCTACTATGAGTGAGACCATCTGGTATTTTTCTTTTTCTTTTTGGCTTATTTCGCTGAGCATGATCCCTTCCAACTCCATCCATGTTGCTGCAAATTGCATGAGTTTATCTTTTTTAATTGCTGAGTAATAGTCCATTGTCTATATATACCACATCTTCTTGATACAGTCATCTATTTTTGGGCATTTGGGTTGTTTTCATAGCTTAGCTATTGTAAATAGTGCTGCTATAAAGATAGGGGTGCAGGTACCCTTTTGAATTAATGTTTCTGTGTCCTTTGGGTAAATACCTAGGAGTGGAGTTGCTGGATCATATGGAAGCTCTATCTTTAGTAGGTCAAGAAATCTCCACACAGTAAAGCTGAATTTTAAAAGAAACTTGTAGCCTCTGTATTCAACCAGAATCCCAAAGTTAAAACAAATGTTTGAGAGACTATTTTTATTTATTTATTTTTTTTTTAAGAACTCTTTTTTTTAAGATTGATTGATTGATTGATTGATTGATTTATACATACATACATACATACAAGCATGGGGTACAGTCAGAAGCACGGGAGGGTGAGAGAATTCACCAGAGTCAGAGCGGGGAACAGAACAGGCACACCGACGAAATACACTGCTGAGGGGAGCAGCGGGCACAGCAGGAGAGGTCTGTCGCACCATGTGGGACCCTCACCGGCAGCCGGGGATCAAACCGGCGCTGCAGAGGCTGCAGGCAGCTTTGCAGCCCAGCGCTCAACCGCTGCGCCACCAGGGGAGGCCCTTGAGAGACTGTTTTTAAAATATTTATTTATTGGTAGGTATGTCTTTAATCAAAATATTCACCAAATAGTTTGAAATGGTAATAAGGCAATTGATTCATAAATATTTTTCAGATTGTCAGTTAGATAATTTATTACAGAGCTTTTGATTGTTACCTAAATACCTGTATTCAGAGTGTATACATTATAGCATGTCTTTGACATGATACTATTAAAACCATGTTTCTGAGGCATTAGTATTTTAGAAATTTTTGGAAAAAGAAGAGTAGAAAAAATTTCATGACAAGTATTTTTTTTTCTGTTCTGTAACTAGAATGAGTGGAAGAAATTATGCTTATTTTCTCTTTTATGATTTCCTGCAAAAGTTAAATTTAATCCTTTTCCAAAGCATAAAATTTGCAGCATACATTTTAAATTAACATGTTAATTCTACTACAGCTGTTTGGCTGTTAAATGAAGCTCCAACTTTTTGGTGATTCATTTTTCTTGTACACAAAAGAAAGACTTTTCTTGAAATCTTACAGAAGCAATTATTTCTATGTGTGGGTGTACCTATGAATGAAAAAACTTAGTGAAAATGAATAAAAATGTTTATTTTTAAGGATCGTTCATTTGAATAAATTGGAAAATATTATTTTTAAGTTTATAACCTAAATATTTCTGCTTTTAAGAAAGACCACTTTTTTAAGATTTGAAAAGAGGAATACTTGGGCAAAGCTTGGTATCTTGACCCAACGAAGAAAAAAACAAGTTATGGCTGTTTGCAACAAAGAAAAAAACAAGTTATGGCTGTTTATGTATATGTCTTTTTAGGGCCTCCCTGGTAGCGCAAGTGGTTAAGCACTATCAAGCTATCAGCAGCCACTGCTGCATGAGTTTGATCCCCAGCCAGGGAACTGACCCATATGGCACAGCAGACCTCTTCTGTCTCACCCGCAGCTCCCCTCAGCAGTGTATTTCAGTCAGTCTGCCTGTTTTGCTCCCCAGTCTGTCTCTGGTGAATCCTCTCACCCCCCCCCCCCACACCTCTGGCCTATACCCTAGTTGTTGTATGCAAAAATAAATAAAAATACATCTTCAAAAAAATAAATAAAATGTCTTTTTGTAAGTTGAAATGGGAGGATTGGAATTGAAAAGGGGAATTCTTTCACCTAGTTTTTCTTTTTTAACATTTTGCAGTTTTTTTCTTGACCAGTTTATTTTTTTTAAAGATTAAGAAACCAACATTTCTTTTTTAAATTTTTGTTTGTTTGTTTGTTTGTTTATACAAGCACTGGGTACAATCAGAAGCGCGGGAGGGTGAGAGGATTCACCAGAGCCAGAGTGGGGAACAGAACAGGCAGACTGACGAAATACACTGCTGAAGAGCAGCAAGCGGCAGGAGATAGCTGCACGCCATGTGGGACCCTTACCCAGCAGCCACGGATTGAACCGGCTCTGCAGTGGCTGCGGGTAACTTCCCAACCCGGTCCTCAACCGCTGTGCCACCGGGGAGGCCCTTTGACCAGTTTATTAATTTCATAGCACTGTGATATAAATACCTCGGACTAGTGGTTCAAAACAACAAAAATGTATTCTTTCACAGTTTTGGACACAAAGTCTGAAATCAAAGTGTCGATAGGACCACAATCCCTTCCTTGTTTCTTCTAGCTTCTGGAGGTTTCAAACCATCCTCAGCACTCATTCCTACACTTAAAGACACATCACTCCAATCTCTTCCTCTATTGTCACTTGGTATTCTTATGACTCTAAATATGTCGCTGTTCAAATTTTCTCCTTCTTACAAAGACAGGAGTCCTTGGATTAGAGCCCTCTCTAATCCGGTATAACTAATATGTACTGAGACCTCTTTCAGCTTTTGGGTGAAAATGGACCAGGGTTGGGGGAGCGGGGGAGCTTGCAAGACACTGTTGAGTACAACAGGTAAGTTGGAGGACATACCACAGGGTTGTGAGCATTAAAGATTTCCTCTTTTAAATACCCAATACTGGGCCTCCCCTGGTGGTGCAGCGGTTGAGCTCTGGGCTGCGAAGCGGCCCGCAGCCTCTGCAGTGCCGGTTCGATCCCCAGCTGCCAGCGAGGGTCCCACATGGCTCGCAGACCTCCCCTGCCACCCGCTGCTCCCCTCAGCAGTGTACTTCTTCTTTGGTCTGCCTGTTCTATTCTCCACTCTGGCTCTGGTGAATTCTCTCACCCTCCCACGCTTCTGACTATACCCAGTGCTTGTATAAATAAATAAATAAATACCCAATACTATGTTTTGTTGATGTTAACTTTGTACTTCCCAACTTTAAGGAATTTAAAAGACATGACTTTTTTTTTTTTTTTTTTTTTTTTGTGGGACCCTCGCCTGTGGCCGGGAAACGAACTGGTGCTGCAGAGGCTGCTGGCAGCCTCGCGCTTAACTGCTGCGCCACCAGGGGAGGCCCAAAAGACATGAAATTTTTATGTTGTATGAATAAGATTCCTGATAGCAGGGTCTCCACTTGATGTCTCCTTCTGAAGACTGAGTGAGTCTCCGTGACCCAGACTCACTCAGTACATTGTCAGTGTTTATCAAAAAAATGAATTTAGAGTGGTATTTCATGCATTCAGATACAAGACCAATAAAAATTGATATTTGAAAATTATCTACATTGAAACTGAACAGGAAGAGTAATCATTGATTAGTTTTTAAAAATAAATACTCATTTGGTTATTATAATGTAATGTGTTAGAGGATTTGAGGAGGAGATCTGTGGTATTTAATAAAAGTGATTTAAGAATTATAAGATATTTCTTGAAAGGGAATAGAAAGATATTATGCTTAGCATTCATTACAAAAGCAGTCTGTTAGATTTAGATCAGAAATGAATACTTAATACCTTTATAACTTGTTTTGTGCAAATATTGGAGGGTTTAAAAGACTTTTGTTAAGGATTTTTATCCCGAGGAATGCCTATTTGAAAAATCTGGACAAATTTTATCTCTCTCACTTAAAATTACTTTCTAAGATCCTCATGTTTTTCTTTATGTTGTTTTAAGGAATGTTTTAATTTTTAAATTAGTTCTCCCTCTGACTGAGAAAGGAAGTTGTACCTTTTTTTTCTTTTTGAAAGAAAAGTCATCTGTAGTCAATACTAACTTTTTAAAGTACATATGTAAGTATTACTGATTTGTTTTTTTAAGAGAATTGCTTGGTCTTACAGATTCAACCTAGAATGACAATGAGCAAATTGCCTCTTCAAGCAAATGTCTATCCAATGACTACTATGGCTTATATCCAGGATGCCGAGAACCGCTTATCTCTGCTCTCTGCTCAGTCTCTGGGTGTTTCGAGTTTGAAAAGTGGTATGTATTGTTTAGCTTTTTATTCTTATAAAATTCAATTCCAAGTGTGTTACTTTTTGTTTGTCATATATTTCGATTATTATCTTCAGATTTCTTGTTTTGAAAACGATACTATTAATTTTGGAGGATTGTGAGAACAATATAAAATAATGAATTTCCTCAGTCTTCAGAAAAAGAATGGAAAACCTAAGACCCTGCATCATGATTATTTTTAAAGTTAATTCACTACTCTTGGTAGCTGGCTATTTGCATAAGTCTCTTGTCATGATTTCATGGATAAGGAAATTCAGACCCCAACATTTAGATAATTTGCCTGAGTCTGCAAAGGTGGGAGATTATAGTTCAAGCTTAGGTTCTTTTCTGTTTCAAAATCTTTCTAGGTCACCATGACTTGAACAAAAAAGGCAGTAGAGAAGATACTGATTGATACAGGGATTCAGAGGTGATAAGCATGATTTTAGGGTTCCAAAAGAGAAAATGGGTAATAGAGTTTGATTAATTTTTATAAAACTTGCTGCTGGGAGGCCTTTATTCTTCATAATACATATATTTAAGTATCATTTACATGTCATCAATCATTCTTCTTTCCTTAGTACTAATTATTGCTAATACCAATGTTTCCTGGAGTCAAGGAGATAATAAATGAATGCTGATGTCTGGTGTATCCTTGACACAAGCCCACATTTTATATGTGATCTATAAATACATTCTGTGCTTCCACACACAAAAACTACACTACTTCACATTTTACTTTGTAGTCTTCATTAGGCATAATCATGAGATCATGCCATAAAGACATGAACACAAATAGAAGAAAAATAATGGTCTTACATCAGGGATTTAACAAAGGTTTAGGGACTTGAGTAAACTGGAGAGTGCACTGAGGGTGTATAGTGGGGCAGTCATTACCTAGTGCCAGGCCATTGTACCAAGGGGAGGGAGGCCAGCGTTGCTAAATTTTTCAGTGTTTGAAGATGAATCCAGAAGTCTGTAATTTTTTGTGAAACTGCTCAGTTGTGAATGTTGACAAAACTTTTTGAAAATCAAAGCAAAACATCTCTGCTAAATGTAACTCTTGAACCACCCGTTTTTAAATCCTGTCTTAAATTTCCAAAGTTGGCCTCTAAATAGGGGACTAGCCATTAGGTCTTAAGCAGTGAGGAACCAAACATTGTCATTTCTCTTTACTGATAAAGATCATCTGAGAAAGAACGATCTTCTGGCCCTGTTCCTAGTGATTGAAAAGATGTGGTATATATACACATTGGAATACTACTCGGTGATTAAAACCGATAAACTCATGCCAACTACAGCAACATGAATGGAGCTGGAGAGGATGATTCTAAGTGAAATAAGCCAGAAGGGAAAAAGTAACTGGGTGGTGTCACTTGTATGTGAAATATTAAAAAACCAAACAAACTGTATGTCAGACAAAGGTAAACTTTAAAACCAACCTTTGAAAGCTGCAGCTTTCTGAGGTTTTGGGGGGACGTAGAGCACAATGGACTGTGGTGAAGGACTACAGGTCTACATATGTTTCAATGATGGAAGTGCTGTGGTGACTACTCCTGAGGGGGAATCCTATATGATCAAAACACTAGCAAGGATATAAAATGATGATCCTTCAATAAAAATTAAAAAAATTAAAAAGATTTAAATGAGCAAGAGAAAAGTGGGGGAGGGGGCTGTAAGCATAAAAGCAATTTGAATACAGTCGAGGAAATTACTGAGTGTCAGATATTATATGGACTAACATTTGGAGGTAGGGAAAAGAGTTAGAAATGGCCAGATACTAATGTACTAGTTTAGGTATGAAATGATCAAACTGGTCTCCTGACTGGAAGAGAAACTTAAACCAAGACTGCCTTGTACTTCATATCCCCAGTGCCTAAGGAGCAAGTTCCAGACAATTTTCTTATAGAATGTGAATGTAGTAACAAGGAAAGTTCTGATCATCAGTGGCAATTTTATATGCCAGATACCAAAACTGAGAACAAAGAAACTAGGTACAACTGGTGCAACTGTATAAGAGTAATAATTATTAAAATATTTTCTGCATTGCCCTTTTATTCTAAATAGTCACTTAATACAGTAGCATTAAGAAAGAATAGATAAGGCCTCCCCGGTGGCGCAGCGGTTGAGCACCGGGTTGCGAAGCTGCCCGCAACCTCTGCAGCGCTGGTTCGATCCCCGGCTGCTCCCTGTCCACCGGAGGAGGGTCCCACATGGCGCGCAGACCTCTCCTGCCGCCCGCTGATCCCCTCAGCAGTTACTTCGGTCCTTCTGCCTGCTCTGCTCCCCGCTCTGGCTCTGGTGAATTCTCTCGCCCTCCCGCGCTTCTGACTGTACCCAGTGCTTGTATGTATGTATGTATGTATGTATGTATATATGTATAAATAAATAAATAAATAAATAAATCTTTAAAAAAAGAAAGAATAGATGGATTCGTGAATGAATGTACATATATTTTTAAAATATATACAACTTTTTTTTAGTATAATCCTACATACATAACTGTGGCTCTGAGTGATTTTTTTTTAATGTTTTAATATAGTCTCCTAACTAGCATACAATTTAAACTAGTGGAGATGTGGAATTATTGCATAAAAAAATAGAAGCCTAATATGACTACTTTTTGAGCTTGAGGAGGCAGTGTGGTGCTCTCACTGACGTAGTAATCAGGGAGAGAACGTGGAAGTTGTGGGGTTTTCAAGTTCTAGAGCTTCTTCAAAGACTCACCACATGATGTAACCTAAATTTTATTTCAAATCCTTTTCAGGTTCATACCCTTTATAGTTGTCTCATTACACCATGTGTGATACGCATTTCCTCATGAATTTCATACACATTTTTATATTCTAAATGCTGCCACCAAAAAATGTTGGAAGATTTAATTTACTGTTTAGATTTTTTTAAGTTTCACTTTAATTTTCATCTGCCCTGTCCATTTTAAAATGTCTTATCAGATTTTACTACAGATTAATGAATAATTGAGAAAATATCCTGTTCTATAAATTTATACTAACTGCCTTGAGCTATTATTGAGACAAAGCCCACAGTGCTGTGGGTGGTGTTATCGATCTATCTCCTGACTGGAAGAGAAACTTCAACCAAGACTGTGCCTTGTAGTTGATTGATCTTCTCTGTATGTTTGTATTAAATAACCCTGGCCGGTTTGTGTTTGTTTGTTTGTCAGGTCAGATTGAAGTGATCATGGATCGAAGACTCATGCAAGATGACAATCGTGGCCTTGACCAAGGTGTCCATGATAACAAGATCACAGCTAGCTTATTTCGAATACTACTAGAAAAAAGAAGTGCCATAAATATGGTAGGAAAAAAAAAAAGTAATTTTCTTGTTCTGATACTTGTCCTTTGCCACCCAAATTTTGAGATTATAACTTTTCACTTTTTTATTTTTTAATAATTTCCAATATTGAGAACTTTATAATAAATTTAGCCTGTCTTCACAGAATGAAGATTTTGCGTGTGTGTGTGTGTGTGTGTGTATCTCAGATTAGATTTGTTTATAGGTCATTTTATTTTATTTTTTATTATTATGTAGATGATAATATTAAGGAATCAACTGAGGTGAAATTTTCTGCAGTTAGTTTGAAAGAAAGAAATGAGTTGAAGGGTTGGGCTAAATAAGATTTAAAAAGGAGCTCATCATGTACTTAGGAAATTTGTTTGATTAGTAAAATGTATTTGAAATCATAGCGTACTGATTGTAATCTTAGGTTCATCAATTGAAAATGGATTTAGTTCTCTTACTTCATTTCTCAAAGCAAAAAAATCCCCATTTCATGTTAAACTGCCTGACCATACAACAGAGCCATCAAGTGTGCCCCCACATTTCCTCCTTTTCTCCCTGTACAATTTCAATCCCTCTGTAATCTCTTTTACTTATATGGCTTTGGTGACTTCCTTCACACAGATGGAATCCACAAATATATATCCCCAGCTTTGGTTTCACCTCTGACCTCAGACTCATCTACTTGCTTCCTGATATTTTTTTTTTTTTAATTTTTTATTTATTTATTTTTTTTAAATATTAAATTTTATTTTTATATTTCCCCATACAATTGCAAACGCCCCATTCTGACCCCAATCCTTCCCCTCCCGCTCCCCACCCCCCAAAAAGTGTCTCTGGTTCATAGTTTTTTGTTGATTTTGATTTTCACTTTCTTATATTCATTTTCCTGGTCCCTTATTTAAGTTTTCTAGATTCCTGCTATGAGTGAGACCATCCGGTATTTTTCTTTTTCTTTTTGGCTTATTTCGCTGAGCATGATCCCTTCCAGTGCCATCCATGTTGCTGCAAATTGCATGTGTTTATCTTTTTTGAATGCTGAGTAATATTCCATGGTATATATGTACCACATCTTCTTGATCCAGTCATCTATTTTTGGGCATTTGGGCTGTTTCCAAAGCTTAGCTATTGTAAACAGTGCTGCTATAAACATAGGAGTGCAGGTGCTCTTTGGAATTGATGTTTCTGTGTCCTTTGGGTAAATACCTAGGAGTGGAATTGCTGGATCATATGGAAGCTCTATGTTTAGTAGGTCCAGAAATCTCCACAGAGCTCTCCATAGTGGTTGGACCAGTTTGCACTCCCACCAACAGTGCACAAGAGTTCCTTTTTCTCCACATCCTCGCCAACATTTGTTGTTGCTAGTTTTTTTAATATGTGCCATTCTCACTGGTGTGAGATGGTATCTCATGGTAGTTTTGATTTGCATTTCCCTGATTACAAGTGATGTTGAACATTTTTTCATATGTCTGTTGGCCATTTGCATTTCCTCTTCAGAGAAGTTTCTTTTTAGCTCTTCTGCCCATTTTTTGACTGGATTATTTTCTTTGTTGTTGCTGAGTCTCATCAGCTCTTTGCAGATTTTTGTGATCAGTCCTTTATCATTAGTGTTGGGTGCAAAAATGTTCTCCCAGTTGGTGGGGTTTCTCTTTGTTTTTATTATTGTCTCTTTTGCTGTGCAGAAGCTCTTTAATTTGATGTAGTCCCAGCTGTTTATCTTTCTCTTCACTATCACTGCTTTGGGTGATGTGTCTGTAAAGATGTCTTTGATGTGCAAATCCCGTAGTGTTTCGCCTATATGTCCTTCTATGTATTTTATGGTTTCAGGTCTTATGTCTAGTTCTTTAATCCATTTTGAGTTGATTTTTGTGTATGGTGTGAGGTAGTGGTCCAGCTTCATTCTTTTGCATGTAGCGACCCAGTTTTCCCAGCACCATTTATTGAACAAACTTTCTTTGCTCCAATGCATAGTCTTTGCTCCTTTGTCAAAGATTAGTTGACCATAAATCTGTGGGTTTATTTCTGGATTTTCTATTCGATTCCATTGGTCTGTATGTCTGTTCTTGTTCCAATACCATGCAGTTTTGATGATTATGGCTTTGTAGTATAGTTTGGAGTCTGGGAGTGTGATGCCTCCATTTCCTTCTTTTTTTTTCAGTAGAGCTTTGGCTATTCGGGGTTTTGGTGATTCCATATGAATTTCATCAATAATTGTTCTATTTCTTTGAAGAATGACATTGAGATTTTGATTGGAATAGCATTGAATCTGTATATTGCTTTTGGTAGGATGGCCATTTTAATAATGTTTATTCTTCCAATCCATGAGCAGGGGATGTCTTTCCATTTCTTTGTGACTTCTATTTCTTTTAACAGTGTTTTATAGTTTTCTTTGTATAGGTCCTTTACCTCTTTTGTTAGATTTATTCCCAAATATTTGATTTTTTTTGTTTCGATAATAAAAGGGGTGGTTTTTTTGATTTCTTCTTCTTCAGATTTATTGTTTGTGTATAGGAAGGCTACTGACTTTTGCGTGTTGATTTTGTATCCTGCCACTTTACTGAACTGATTGATGAGTTGAATTAGTTTTTCTGTGGAGTTTTTGGGGTTTTCTATGTATATTATCATATCATCTGCAAATAGTGATAGTTTGACTTCTTCTTTTCCTATTTGGATTCCTTGGATGTCTTTCTCTTGTCTTATTGCTCTGGCTAGGACTTCCAGTATTATATTGAAAAGCAGTGGTGAGAGTGGACATCCTTGTCTTGTTCCAGATCTTAATGGAATTGCTTTCAGCTTTTCACCATTGAGAATGATACTGGCTGTTGGCTTGTCATAGATGGCCTTTATGATGTTGAGGTATGTTCCTTGTATCCCAAGAATTTCAAGGGCTTTTATCATGAATGGGTGTTGCACTTTGTCGAAAGCTTTCTCAGCATCTATTGATATTATCATATGGTTTTTATATTTCTTTTTGTTGATGTGTTGGATAACGTTGATTGATTTTCGGATGTTAAACCATCCTTGTGCCCCTGGAATGAATCCAACTTGGTCATGGTGAATTATCTTATGGATACATTGTTGGATTCTGATAGCTAAAATTTTATTGAGGATTTTTGCATCAGTGTTCATTAGGGAGATTGGCCTATAGTTTTCCTTTTTTGTGTTGTCCTTATTCGGTTTTGGTATTAGTGTAATATTGGCTTCATAGAACGTGTTTGGTATTGTCCCTTCCTTCTCAATTTTTTGGAAGAGTTTGTGAAGGATAGGCACTAATTCGTCTCTGAATGTTTGGTAGAATTCATTTGTAAATCCATCAGGTCCTGGGCTTTCGTTTTGGGGAGGTTTTTAATTACCATTTCAATTTCGCTGCTTGTAATTGGTCTGTTTAGGTGTTCTAATTCTTCTTTATCTAGCTTTGGGTGATTGTAGAGTTGTAGGAATTTGTCCATCTCCTCTAGATTGTTGAACTTGTTTCCATATAACTGTTCATAGTAGTTACTGATTATTCTTTTGATTTCTGCTGTGTCCGTTGTGATTTCTCCTCTTTCATTTATGATTCTGTGTATTTGTGCTTTCTCCCTTTTTTCCTTTGTGAGCCTGGCTAGGGGTTTGTCTATTTTATTTATTTTTTCAAAGAACCAGCTCTTGGTTTCATTGATCTTTTGGATTGTTTTTTTAGTTTCAATTTCATTTATTTCTGCTTTGGTTTTTATTATTTCTTTTCTTCTACTGGTTCTGGGGTTTTTTTGTTGTTCTTTTTCTAGATCTTTGAGCTTCGAGATTAGGTTGTTTCTTTGAGTTCTTTCTTGTTTTTTGATGTGAGCTTCTATTGCTATATATTTTCCTCTTATTACTGCTTTTGCTGCATCCCATACATTTAGGATATTGGTGTCCTCCTTGTCATTCAATTCAAAGAATTTTTTAATTTCTTCTTTGATCTCCTCGTTAGTCCAGTGGTCTTCCAGTAGTGTGGCTTTTAATCTCCATGAGGTAGGATAGTTCCTTGCCTTCTTTTTATGATTTATTTCTAGTTTGATGCCTTCGTGGTCAGAAAAGATGGTTGGTATGATTTCAATCTTGGTGTATCTGTTGATGTTTGTCTTGTGCCCCAGTATGTGATTGATCCTGGAGAATGATCCGTGTGCGCTTGAGAAAAATGTGTACTCCGTTTTTTTTGGGTTTAGTGTTCTATAGATGTCTGTTAAGCCCAAATGCTCTAGGTCCTTATTTAGAGCTTTAGTTTCTTTACTTATTTTTTGTCTTGTTGATCTATCCATTGTTGATAGTGGTGTGTTGAAGTCTCCCACTACATATGTGTTTTCTCTGATGTCTGTTTTCAGAGAGGACAACAGTTGTCTGATATATTTTGGTGCTCTTTTGTTTGGTGAGTATATGTTAATGAGTGTTATTTCTTCTTGAAGTATTGTCCCCTTAATCATAATGTAGTGACCATTGGGGTCTCTTTTTATTTTCTTGAGTTTGAAGTCTGTTTTATCTGATATAAGTATAGCTGTTCCTGCTTTCTTTTTTGGCCCATTTGCTTGTAGGATTGTTTTCCATCCTTTGACTTTGAGCCTATTTTTATCTTTTGTAGCTAAATGTGTTTCCTGGAGACAGCAAAAGGTTGGGTTTTGTTTCTTAATCCAGGCTGCAACTCTGTGTCTTTTTATTGAAGAGTTTAGTCCATTTACATTTAGAGTTAATATTGATATGTTAGCATCTGTATTTGCCATTATGTTTGTCTTTCCTTTGATTTTATTTATTTATTCTTTTAATAACTTTTTTTTTTTTTTTTGCTCTTCTTTCGTTGTTATTCGTCCCTCTGAGGTTCTGGCTTTAGGATTCCTTGTAGTATTTTTTGGAGTGGGGGTTTAGTCGCAATGAAATTCCGGAGTTTCTCTTTGTCTGGAAGGTCCATATTCTTTCTTCATGGAGGAAAGAGAGCTTTGCGGGATAGAGTATTCTTGGTTGGCATCTGTTTTCTTGGAGTCTGTTGACTATGTCCCTCCACTCTCTCC